AAAGGTTTAAGCCTGGCCTGGGAAACTCACAATCCTAGTGGGATCATGCCTTAAAATTTGTAAAAAGATTAACAAATTTTACAAATGTATGAAAATATAGATCATTAAGAAATCTTTGTGCACAATACAGTAGCCAATGTTATTCTCTCATTATTCTTCTGCATTTTATTCTTTTACAGACTTAACAATACCATCTTTTATGTGGACCTTATTAATATGTACTTGAGTTACATTAAAATAAGACAAGAAAGTCTTTCCAAAAAACAGTAATCCTTTGCTCAAATCCTACTTCCATATATAAAGTTACTACTGAAATAAAAAGAACCATCAAATTCTCTTTATACTATGCTCTCTATATCCTAAGAGTGTATATTCAGTAGCATATCTACATTCATCTCAGTTAAAAGGTCAAAAAAGTTGAAACAGTTCAAATTCTTGGCAGTAGATCAATGTCTACTTCATGGTAAACCTAATGCTCAGTGTGCTGACTAAAGTTCATATGTAAGAAAAATTCATCAAGATTTGATTTGTCAATTTATAGGTGATTTTTGTGTCTTTTTAAACCTTTTTAATGTATTATTTATTTCAATTTATTTATTTTTGAGACAGTATTTTTCTATGAAGTTTAGGCTTTCATTGAACTCACATTGTAGCACAGGCTGATGTCAACTCACAGCAATCTTACTGCCTCAGCCTTGTAACTTCTGGCATTACAGATGTTTACTACCAAATCTGGTTCTCATTTACTTTTTAATTTTTTTCCAAAATTAAATTACCCAGGATTATGTGATATGTCATAGTTTATCAGGTGAGTTATACAAAATGAAATCAGAAAGCACTGAAAATGCACGGAAGGAGACTCAAAAGCCACACCAACAATAAAAATAGTGTAACATAACATAACATATTATAGTATAATAATGCTCACTTGTGTTTTCATGACAACACATTTGTTAAAAACATAATTCCATTGAAACCTAATCAGATTTTGAATTCAACAACACTGCATTAAACACTTTACAAATTACATGAATGTTAAAATGGAAGTGAAAACCATAGGCCACAGGAAACCAACTGGGACTCATGGCCCAGTGTATGTGTTTAAAGATAATCAGTACACACCACAAACGTCATGCACTGGTCCTTATAAATAAAGCGATGTGCCATTGTATAAATTCACAATTCAGTAAAACAGAACACAATCTGAATCATAATTTAGCAAATTTACTTTTTACTGTGTTGACAGCTCAAAATTTAGGTTTCCCTTCATGCCATTACTTCAGTATTTTAGGAAAAAACAGTAATAATTACAAAATATATAATGCATTCACAGCATCAAGGAATAAAATAAAGGCATTTGCTTGATACATCCAATAACAACCTTTTCCCCCAAAACAACTCCATATTTAAGAAAAATTGATTTCAAGGTATGGTTACTCATAAATCATGCCAAATTTTATAATTTCTGGATATATATATATATATATATATATATATATATATATATTGTGATGTGCTATTGGACACAAGTTATGATTCTGTCAGTATGGCACAATCAGAAATTCACAGTAGTATGGTTTACATTTGGTACATGTGGGGAAACCTTACTAGTGAATAAAGATGTAATATAAACATAACAAGTAAAATTCTGATGGTTAGAAAAACAAAGGTTTACTTAAATGACCAATACTGGCTCCACTGAGAAACAAAATCAGGCAACATAATTTACATGGTATGATATCCAGTGATGCTAGGAAATCAGCAGATGTCTTGTCACAACTTGGAAAACATAACATTCATTAATGTACAAGTTATGTGAAAAGAACACCACTTTTTCAAAAACACATACTCCAAGCCTCTACAAATGTATATCTTAATGCCAAATATTGCATCAACTTCAGAAAAATCATTTATGAAAGAGAAAATGAAGCATGTGCATCAAAAGATTAAAACAAAGCCATGTTAAAATTACAATTCCCCCCAAAAAATAAGAGACTAGACTAATATCACTCTGAACAGTGAATAATAGTATTGCTCAATTTTATATCATAATGCTACAGAATTAGCATTGTGTTTCTTAGTGTCACTTCTTCTTCAGAGTATCTGTTTGTTACATTATGCATTATATTATTGGTTCCAATAAATAGGTTATAAATTCTTCTCATGTGTGAATCTTTATGTGTATATCTATCCTTTCTGTGTTATGGGGGAAAACAGATCAAAATAAGACAACAAAACAAATTCCTAGAAAATCATGATATGAAAGAGACATATAAGACCACAATATTAGGTGATATACAGTACTTACTATGCTTTCTCTTGTTATTTTCAATAGAATTGTCCACATCATCAGGGAGTATATAATTAAGCATAACATTATACAGCTATTTTTATAAAATCACAAATTTGAAGACGTTGTACGATGTGAAAGCAGTTAATAATCAAACCTGATGTAGAACCCGTGGTTTCCTGCAAGGACCAGTGAGTCAGGCCAAGGCACATAATCCCATCCCCGTCTGGAGGAACTCCCTTCCTCACCTGGGGATCAGGTGGTTGCCCACTGGGAACAGTGAGTTGGGACCAGCGAGTCAGAACCAGGGAGTCGGGCCAAGGCACAGAATCCTTTTTCAGTCTGGGGAAACTCTCTTCCTTACCCAGGGATGAGCCCACAGATTCCTGCCGGGACCAGCAGGTGGGGCTGAGGAGCAGATTCCAATTCCAGTCTGGGGGAACTCCCTACCTTGCCAGCAAGATCAGCCGAGGCATGGAATCCCATACCAATCTGGGTGAACTCGCTCCCTCACTTGGATCAACACTTGAAGCTTGAAAATACAGCAAAATGACAAAATGAAAGACCAAAATGCAATTTCAAACATCCATCCCATCCCAAAAAAGCCTAGGAGCCATGTGCATAGAAGAAAACACATTCCACATAACTGAAATACCTGAAATAATAGTAACTGAAATAAAGAAGCAACTTTGGGAAGCATTAAAGAAATTCAAACTAGAAATAATCTCGTAGGTAAAAAAAGAAATGTTAAAAGAAATGAATGAGATTCTGAACATATCTAAAGAACACACAGTTAAAAAATTGGAGGAACTAAACAAAAAGATAGAATCCCTGGATGAACTCTATAAGAAACAAACAGAATACATAAAGCAGATTCAAAGTGATATACAGGAAATCAAAAACTCTACTGAAAGTTGTAAAAATTGTCTCAATGAATATGAAGATAGAATCTCAGACCTCGAAGACAAGATTGCAGCCAGTGAACAGGAAAGGAAAGATCTTTTAAAAATAACAAGAAATCAGGAAATAACTATTGAACACCTGCAAGATGATTCAAAGCAGAACAACATAAGGTTGATAGGGATAAATGAAAAAGAAGGGGACAACATAAAGGATGTCAAGAGGATATTTAGAGAAGTAATCACTGAAAATTTCCCAAACACGAGATTGGAAACTGATATCAAGATCAATGAAGCATATAGAAATCCAAATAGCCATAACCAAAATAAATCTACACCCAAACATATAATAATGACCATCCCAGAAATTGAGCAAATGAATAGAATATTAAAAGCTGTGAGAGAAAAGATACAGATCACCTATAAAGGAAAATGTATCAGAATAACATGCAGACTTCTCAGCACAAACAAGTCAAGAAGAGCATGCAGCAAAGTATTTCAGATCCTAAAGGAAAAGGATTTCCAACCTTGACTGATGTACTCTGCCAAACTGTCCTTCAAAGTCGATGGAGAAATAAGATACTTATATGACAAAGAAAATCTGAAAAACTTCATGATCACCAAGCCAACTTTGCAAAGAATACTGAAAGAGAGCCTAGATACATTTAGGGAAAAAGCACTAAACAAAACAGACAGTTAAAAAGAGCAGAAACATAAAGATGCAACAGCAGAAAGATAACATGTCAACAATAAATCAATATATAACAGTTCTAACCATTAATGTAAATGGTCTCAATGGACCAATTAGAAGAAACCGACTGGCAGAATGGATTAAGAAACAAAATCCAACCATATGCTGTCTACAAGAAACCCATCTAAACCCAAAAGGATATTCACAGACTGAAAGTCAAAGGATGGAAAATATTACTTCATGCAACAATAACCAAACAAAGGGGGGGGTAGCTATTCTGTTTGCAGACAATGTGAACTTCAAGTCAGTAATGATCAGAAGGGATAAAGAAGGTCACTGCATACTGGTTAGGGGAAAACTCCAAGAGGAAGAGAAAACTATCTTAAATTTATATGCATCAAACTTCAGAGCACCCAGTTATATAAAACTAGTACTAACAAAAATGCATAATCAAATTAGCATTAACACAATTCTAACAGGAGATCTTAACACACCATTGACACCAATGGACAGATCAACCAGACAGAAAATGACAAAGAAATAAAAGAACTGACTCGCACCTGTGGACAAATGGACTTAACACATATACAGAGTATTCCTCCCAACAACAACAGCATACACATTCTCCTCTGTGGGGGATGAGGTGTCACTTTGTAGGCCCAACCCCCTCTAACCTGCAATTTACAATAGCCGCCCTGGTATGCGAGAAGGAGGTAGAATAGGAATGCCTGTTCTCAGTGAGCCCCTCACCCTCTGGAATCCATACTGTGAGCTGGCTTTGTTTTGCAGAAGTCTTGAGGAAGTGGCTGGCCACCCTTTGTGACACTAACAGCAGACAAATTAACAACATTCTTGAGCTAATGAATTTCTTCCTGGGCTAGAGAAGTTGTGAGAACTGGTTGTGATTATTTACTTCACTTAGATAGCTTTAGAATAAACATTGTAGTCTGTCACGTTGTAGCTTGCCACAAAGAATGCCTTTTCACTACTTAATTATCTGGGCTCTGTGAACTGATCGGGTTTACTATATATGAATCCTAAAATAAAGATTGTGTGTGCAGTGCAGTGTAACGCGGTGCAGACAGTAAAGGTGTCTCTCCTGTCTTTCTTTTCCGAGCACTGTACCCCCCGTGTCCCAATCAGGCGTGTGTGCGTGTTTACCTTGCCCGGAGTTCAGAGTGCTCTAAGACACTCACGACAAGTGGCGCCCGAATTCAGGGACTCCGAAGGTCGCTTAGGAAGGTAAGTATAATTTTATTACGGGGAAATGGGACAATCTGCTTCTTCTCCTTTCTTAAAAATTCTTAAACATTTATTATCTATATATGGCATATCGCTCAGGTCAGCTGACTTGGATATGTGTATTGATACAATTAAAGAATATAATCCTTGGTTTCCAGATGAAGGAACTTTGGATGTAGAAGTATGGAGGAAGGCAAGGGTTAGTATAGAAAGGGCTATGCAACAGGAGGAGAAGATTCCTTTACGTTTTTGGGCTATTTGGTCGGTTGTGTACTCTTTATTAAAAGCTATGGAAGATGAACATATTGTAGAAAATCTTCAACTAGAAATTAAGCCAGTTATTCAGGAATTGCCCCTCACAGAGGAGGAGCAGAATGTAGTTCAAAATGACGCTATCGCTTTAAGTAGTGAAAAGGCGTCCAAACCGAAAGTAAAATCCGCTACAGCCGACTCAGCTTTAGCTGCCGCAGCAATATCAAATTATGACAATCGGCCAATTTTACAGGCTATACAGCATTTAACACAAGAGGTGAAACAACTCTCCGTTAAGCAGAACCCGCCTGTAGTTCCCTCTGCACCTCCTCCATCTAACCCTAATTGGAGTAAAGCCAAGCTAGCTTTGGCTGATCTACCAAAATTAGGGGATTCTGATGAGGAAAAGCCTGCCTTTGCTTTCCCTGTAATCAGGCCGCAGCCAATAGATGGAGAGGCAGTTCCCCCTAGATGGGAAGCATTTAATATGGATGATTTAGCAAAATTAAAAAAGGCTGTAACCCTTTATGGCCCTCAGGCTCATTACACTAGAGAATTAATAACATCAGTAGCAGATCAGTATGGTAATCTTGCTCCTTATGATTGGAAAGCCTTGGCCAAAATTCTTTTAAAGGAGCCAGAATATTTACAGTGGCACATGTGGTTTATGGAAGGTTGTGCGGAAAAGGCAAGACAAAATGCTGACGATCGAGATCCTAATATTAGACTCCTTTCTTATCCCATGCTCTCTGGTACAGGTTTCTTTGATACTGTTGAGCATCAGGCAGGAGCTCCAAGAGAGATTCATGCTCAATTAAAAGATATTGCTTTAAAAGCTTGGGATAAAATACGGCCTAAAGGATCAGAATATGGATCTTGGGCTAAAGTTCTGCAAGGAGCCAATGAACCGTATGTTGAGTTCGTTGCAAGACTTCAAAATGTTATAGAAAAAACAGTAGTGGGACAAGACTTACAAGAGCATCTCTTAAAAATGTTAGCTTTTGAAAATGCTAATGATGAATGCAAAAGGGCTTTAATTCCAATAAAAGATACTGGAACGATTGACAATTTTATAAAACAATGTAAAGATTTAAATTCAGAATCTAGGAAAATGCAACTGTTTGCTGAGACCATGGCAACCACGTGGACTAATTGGCAATCTAAAAAGGAACAGTCTTTAAAATGTTTTAATTGTGGTCAGATAGGACATGTAAAGAGGGCCTGTCCAAAACTTGTAGGCAATGATCAAAAAAAGAGATCTAGAGCTCCCGGCTTATGTCCAAAATGTAAGAAGGGAAATCATTGGGCTCGTGAATGCAGGAGTAAACAAGTTAATTCAGCTGAACAAAAGGGAAACGGGAGAACGGGCCCTACCCCGGGCCCCGGACAAATCAATGGGGTAAATCTACCGTATTCTCCCTACAGCCAGCCACCCAACACAGTGCCGCAGTGGACATACCAGCCTTAAAAGATGTAGAATTAAGAGGAGGACAATCTCCCGTGAGAATTCCTACAGGAATTTTTGGTCCCCTGCCTGCGGGAACTTTTGGCTTGCTCACGGGTAGATCTAGTTTAAATCAAAAAGGCATTACTGTTCACTTAGGAATTATAGATGCAGACTATACTGGAGAAATTCAAATTCTGATGTCCTCACTTACAGATTATAAATTATTAAAGGGAGAACGTATAGCTCAACTCATTTTACTGCCTTATATCCCAATAGGATCCTCTGTTGTTCAGCGAACAGGAGGGTTCGGCAGTACTAACCCTATTAATGTAATGTGGACAGCTAAATTATCTCAACAACAACCTCTTATTAATATTTTTATTGAGCATAAGAAAATTCAGGCTCTTATAGATACAGGCTCGGATATTACTATTGTTAAACCTACTGATTGGCCTTCTCATATTACTTATACTATTATTCCATGTAATATAAAAGGAGTAAGTAAAACTCCAGTAATTACAATTGGACAAGCCACAATGCATATACATATAAAAAATGAAGAGGGTCAAGTTGCTGTTATTAAACCTTATATCTTAGAGGTGCCAGTTTCTATTTTAGGAAGAGATATATTAGAACAATGGGGAGCTTATATACATTTTTAATATTTTGCATGTTTCTACAGCTTAGGGAAATGAATCCTTTAAAGCTTAATTGGAAAAATGATGACCCAATTTGGATAGATCAGTGGCCTTTGACTACTCAAAAGTTACAGGCAGCGCAGGAATTGATTGATCAACAACTTGCTCTACATCACATAGAACCATCCACATCTCCTTGGAATTCTCCAATATTTGTGATAAAAAAAAAATCAGGCAAGTGGAGACTTTTAACGGACTTACGTGCTGTAAATTCATCCTTATTTCAAATGGGAGCCCTTCAGCCCGGCATTCCTTTACCCTCAGCGCTCCCTGCTGGTTGGTTTGTATATGTTATAGATTTACAAGATTGTTTTTTTAACATCCCATTACATCCAGAAGATAGAAAACGGTTTGCTTTTTCAATTCCTCAAACAAACTATCAAAGACCTTATCAAAGATATCAATGGAGGACTTTACCCCAAGGAATGAAAAATTCCCCAACTATATGTCAAATTTATGTTGATGCAGCATTAAAACCAGTGTGTGCACGATGGCCTCAGGTTTATACGGCTCATTTCATGGATGATATTTTATTCTCATATAGTGATAGAAATGTTTTAGAAGATATTTTAAAAACTTTACCTCAATATTTTTCTCCGTTTGGACTTGTAATAGCACAGGATAAAATTCAAAAGGAAGAAGTTAGTCATTATTTGGGATATATTCTTACTAGACAAAAGGTGATTCCACAAAAAATGTCTATTAGGAGAGATAAGTTATCCACTTTAAATGATTTTCAAAAATTATTAGGGGATATTAATTGGCTTCATCCCACACTAGGTATCCCTACCCATGCATTACAACATTTGTTTGCTACTCTACAGGGCTCTTCAGATCCATCCAGCCCTCGTTCTTTAACAGCAAAAGCAGAGCAAGAATTACAGTTTGTAGAACAACGAATTAAGGATGCATTTTTAATTAGGATTGATCCTAAATTGCCTCTAACTTTATATATTATTAATACTTTTCAATATCCCTCTGCAGTTTTAGGTCAAAATGCTATGCCAGTAGAATGGGTATTCACTAAAACTAAGCAATCTAAAAATGTTATGCCTTATATTGACATGGTTGCAGCTTTAATTATGAATGGTAGAGCTCGTTCTATAACTTTGATAGGAGAAGATATAAACAGTATAGTTATCCCTTTAACTAAGGAACAATGGGAATATTTGTTGTCAATTACTGAAACCTTACAAATTGCTTTAGCAGATTTCATGGGAACTTTTTCATATCATTTTCCTAAAAGTAAATTATGGGATTTTTTTAGACGTCAACAATTTGTGGTTAATACCTTATTAGCTGTACAGCCAATTCCACAAGCTTTGACTATATTTACAGATGGATCTAAAAATAAAGCTGCATATTGGACTCAAAAATCTTACTGGGTACGTCAGACAAATTTTAACTCTGTACAACAAAATGAACTTTTTGCTATATTGCAAGTGTTTTTAGATTTTCATAACCAACCTATTAATGTTATAGCCGATTCGGCCTATTCTGTTGGAGTAGTGACAAATATCTATTCAGCTGTGTTATATTCTAATAAGCCTGCTTTATTGTCTTTATTTCAAAATTTACAAATACATGTTCAAAAAAGAAATCATTCTTATTTTATTACTCATTTACGTTCTCATTCTCAGTTACCCGGACCATTAGTATCAGGTAACAATGCAGTGGATTCCTTAGTTATGTTCACTACACCCGTTGAAGAACATCAATTTAATCATGCGAATGCAGGACATTTGCATCTTAAATATAAGATACCTTTTACAAAAGCTAAACAAATTGTAAAAGCCTGCCCTATTTGTAGACCATTACATTTAAGAATTATTCCCACAGGTGTCAACCCTCGAGGAACTCAACCTAATGAGTTATGGCAAATGGATATTACACATGTACCTTCTTTTGGTCGGCTTTCTTATGTACATGTAGTTATTGATACATATTCTTCATTTCTATGGGCTACTGCTCAACAGGGAGAATCCACTAAAAATGTTATTGTACATTTATTGGAGACTTTTGCAGTTATGGGAATTCCTTCTAAAATCAAAACAGACAATGGACCTGCTTATACTAGCAGAACATTTAAACAATTTTGTGATCTCCATAATATTATTCATATTACAGGGATTGAATATAACCCCCAGGGTCAAGCTATTGTTGAAAGAGCACATGGCACTCTTAAGTTGCAAATTAAAAAATTAAAAAGGAGGAGTCAGGAGGATATTCAGATACCAATACTGTTTAAATTGCAAAACAGTCCAAAAACATTACTGCATCAAGCATTGTTTATTTTAAATTTTCTCAATTTACCACAAGGTGAAATATTAACAAGAGCTGAAAAACATTTCGAACAGCAACAACAGCCCTTTGTGATTAATGAACCTATTTGGACTAAAACAGCTCCAGAGGCTGAATGGGAGAAGGGCACACTGCTCTATAAGGGGAAAGGTTTTGGTTATATCTCCACAGAAAATGGAATTCAGCAGTGGGTCCCTGGACGATGGATCAGGATCCGCGCCTCCAGACCCTGTTCGCCAGCCCCGGAGACAACTCCCCAAGGAACCGGAACCGTGCCTTCAGAAGCGAGCCCGAAACCAGCTAGAGGCTGAAGATGCTGAGCTTGTTCCTATCGCAGCCATGGCCAGATTACAGCTAAGAAAATCCCGCCGCTCACAGCGACCAAATTTAAATCCCCTCCCTACATGGGGACAATTAAAGAAATTGACCATAGAAGGGCAACGGCTTGTCCTTCAAGCAGGAAAGCCTTTAAACCCTGAAAACTTGTTTTTAGCTTTATGTGCCTTGCTCACTGTTGCGTCGGGGACTGAGGTACCTCCACATTCGTACTGGGCATATATTCCAAATCCCCCTTTATTAGAACCTGTAAAATGGGGAACTAGTGATATTTTACTTTATACCACACCTAGAGAAATTTTGTCAGCACCGTGGGCTGATTTAACCCCCCACAATCAAGATGATGGGACATTATTCAATTTTACTTATTATGGTAATCAAAGGCCTATTTGCATTGGGGAACCGCCTTGCATCCCTCTGGGATGGCAGTATTGGATTCAACATGGAATAAAAGCAGGCAACAAAAGAACAAGGCTTCAAGCCTTGGCTGCTCAAACCTTTAATGTTACCTGGAGAAATTTAACAGCACCTGATACAAATACATTTCCTGTATGCCCTGAATTCACTTATAAAAATATTTCTTATTATCCCATAATTTGGCAACTATGTATGGGAAAATTTGCTAAAAATATTGATGGGTATATTATTTGGGGACCATTTGGAAAATTCGTTAATGGATGTGCTGAATGGAATGAGACAAGATGTAATCTCTCTGTTGTGTATAGTCTTCCAGATCCAAAGAAAATAACTGACGGAGCTCCTATATTTCATCAGAAGACGGCTCTTTTGTGGTGGGGAGATGGTGGAATCGCTAACCCTGCTGTTGCAGCCGAAGAATACCCTCATCACCTTCAAAATCATATTTGGAAGATTCCAGCCGCTATGCAACCTGTAACCTTGTACAATGTTTCCTATTCAGGGACTAGTCGATCTGTATCTACTACTTATAATTTTACTAGGTTTAAAATGTATAATATTACTGTTTGTGCACCTCTGCCTTATGTCTTTTTAGTGGGAACTTTTAATTTTACACATTTTTCTTGTACTTGTTTAAATTGTCAATTGTTTACATGCTTAAATAGCACACTAAATTTCACTAAGCCTTATACAGTTATGCTGTTACAACAAAAAACTCATATTTGGTTGCCTGTAAATTTAACTCGACCATGGTCTCAAGACCCGGTAATTTCTGTTACTACTGAATTTTTTAAACATCTGTTAAAACGTACAAAAAGATTTATTGGAATAGTGGTTGCTGTACTGTTAAGTCTGATAACTGTAGCCTCCCTAGCAGCAGTCTCAGGAATAGCTTTACAAACCTCTTTGCAAGAAAAACATGTTGTAGAATTATGGCATGAAAATTCTCATGAACTTTGGTTAACTCAGTGGCAAATAAATGCCAGGCTACAACAACAAATAGACCTCCTTAAACAAACAGTTGAATGGATGGGTAGAAAAATATTGGCTCTTCAGCATCAAGTGTTTTTAAAATGTGATTGGAATTCAACTACTTTCTGTATAACCCAACGACCTTATAATCAAACAGAACATGAATGGGAAATGATTAGAATGTATCTAAATGGAAACACCTCTGCCCAGGAGGAAATAGAATCTTTGCATAATCAAATTGACAAGGATTTTGCAAAGCAAAATGATGATGAATCCCTAGCACAATTCGCGCAATTGCTTGCTCAATCTTTGAAAGGATTAGATTCCAAAGGAATCTGGCAGAGCATAACCCACACTTTTAGTGGCATGGGACTTAGTTTAATTATAGTTCTCATTGCCATAGTTCTTGTGTATTTTTACTGCATAAGATGAAATACTATTAATAACCTGATCCTATGGAAATTGTTGTTAAAAAATAAAAAGGAAGGAAGTGTGGGGGATGAGGTGTCACTTTGTAGGCCCAACCCCCTCTAACCTGCAATTTACAATAGCCGCCCTGGTATGCGAGAAGGAGGTAGAATAGGAATGCCTGTTCTCAGTGAGCCCCTCACCCTCTGGAATCCATACTGTGAGCTGGCTTTGTTTTGCAGAAGTCTTGAGGAAGTGGCTGGCCACCCTTTGTGACACTAACAGCAGACAAATTAACAACATTCTTGAGCTAATGAATTTCTTCCTGGGCTAGAGAAGTTGTGAGAACTGGTTGTGATTATTTACTTCACTTAGATAGCTTTAGAATAAACATTGTAGTCTGTCACGTTGTAGCTTGCCACAAAGAATGCCTTTTCACTACTTAATTATCTGGGCTCTGTGAACTGATCGGGTTTACTATATATGAATCCTAAAATAAAGATTGTGTGTGCAGTGCAGTGTAACGCGGTGCAGACAGTAAAGGTGTCTCTCCTGTCTTTCTTTTCCGAGCACTGTACCCCCCGTGTCCCAATCAGGCGTGTGTGCGTGTTTACCTTGCCCGGAGTTCAGAGTGCTCTAAGACACTCACGACACTCCTCAGTATTACATGGGTCACTCTCTAAAATAGACAATATGTTAATTCACAGAGCATATTTAAATAAATGCAAAAGGGTTGAAATTATCCCTGGCATGCTATCAGACCATACCACTATGAAATTAGAAATTAATGATAAGATACTGCAAAAATCCCACAAACACATGGAAACTGAATAACACTCTTGAGTAATCAGTGAGTCACAGAGGAAATTAAAGAAGAAATTAAACAATACCTACAGACAAAAGGAAACACAAATACAATGTACCAGAATCTGTGTGATGCAATGAAAACTGTCCTCTGAGGAAAATTTATTGCACGAGTTCCCACATTAGGAAAACAGAAAGAATACAAATAAATAACCTGATGTTATACCTCAAACATCTAGAAAAAGAAGATCAAGTCAAGCCCAAAGCCAAAAGAAGAGAAGAAATTATAAAAATCAGAGCAGAAATCAATGCAATAGAGACTAAAAAACAATCCAAAAAATCAATGAATCAAAGACCTGGTTCTTTGAAAGAATAAATAATATCGAAAAGCCCCTAGCCAACCTTATTTAAAATATGAAAGAAAAAGTTGAAATCCATGCAATAAGGAATAAAAGATATGAAATTACTACAGACCCTATTGAAATGCAGAAGATCATCAACACCTATTTCGAAAACCTCTACTCTCAAAGGTTTTATAACACAGAAGAAATAGACAGATTCCTAAAGCATATGAAGTACCAAAGCTAGGTCTTGAAGATGTAAAATTACTGAACAACCCAAATTCTATTAATGAAATTGAAAACGTAATAAAATCGTTACCTACAAAGAAGAGCCCAGGCCCAGACGGATTCACTGAAGAATTCTACAAGAAATACAAAGAAGACCTATTGCCAACACTCCTCAAACTCTTCATTGAAATGGAAAGGCAAGCAATCCTTCATAAATTGTTCCTAGAAGCAAATATTACTCTAGCACCAAAACCGGAGGAGGACCCAACTGAAAAAGAGAACTACAGACCAATCTCCCTAATGAACAAAGATGCAAAAGTCCTCAATAAAATATTGGCAAATAGGATGCACCAAATCAACAAGAAGATCATATACCATGACCAAGTGGGATTCATCCCAGGCATGCAGAGATTGTTTAATATATGTAAATCAATAAGTGTAATACACCATATCAATAGAGCCAAAAGTTATAATCACATGATCATTACTATAGATGCAGAAAAAGCTTTTGATAAGGTCCAACATTCATTTATGATAAGAACCTTGCCGAAAATTGGAATAGATGGTCCTTACTCAATATAATTAAGGCTGGCAATGACAAAACAACAGCCAGTACCATACTAAATGGTCAAAATCTGAAGGACTTTACTTTAAAATCAGGCACAAGACAAGGATGTCCCTTATCACAGCTCCTATTTAATATAGTACTGGAAATGCTGCGCAGAGCAATTAGAAAAGAGAGAGAAATAAAAGGCGTAAAGATAGGAAAAGAAGAAGTTAAATTATCATTATTTGCAGATGACATGATACTTTATATAGAACTTTATATAGAAGACCCCCGAAATTCCATTGAAAGACTCCTAGATATAATAAATAAATTCAGTAATGTAGCTGGATACAGAATCAATACTCAAAAATCAATAGCATTCCTATACACTAACAACAAAGTCACAGAGACAGAAATACGAGAGGCCACACCCTTCACACTAGCAACCAAGAAAATGAAATATTTAGGAATTACTGAAAGGCCTATACAGGGAAAATTATAACACACTGAAAAATGAAATTTAAAATGATCTCAGAAAATGGAAAGACACCCCTTGCTCATGTATAGGAAGAATAAATATTGTGAAAATGGCCATTCTCTCAAAACTTTTATACAGATGCAATGCAATCCTGATAAAAATACCATCAACATACCTCATAGAACTTGAGAAATCACCCCTAAAATTCATCTGGAATGAGAACAAACCTAGAATAGCAAAGACAGAGGCAGCAAAAGCAAGGCAGGAGGTACCACAATCCCTGACTTGAAGTTATACTACAAAGCAACTGTAGTATAATCAACATGGTACTGGAACCAAAACAGAGCCGACTATCAGTGGAATAGATGAGAAGATACAACCACAACTACAAACACACTCAACCACCTTATTTTGATAAAGGGGCCAAACATGTTCACTGGAAGAATGACAGTCTCTTTAATAAATGGTGGTGAAAAACTGGCTCTCCATATGCCTAAAACTAAAACTAAAGCCATGCCTATCACCATATACTAAAATAAAATCTAAATGGATCAAAGATCTAAATATTAAAACAGAAACACTAAATCTATTGGAAGACAAATTGGGTAAAAACCTTGAAGACATAGGAGTAGGTAGAGAATTGATGAACAGGACTCAAACCACATGGGAAATCCTTCGCAGAATCAATAATTGGGATCACCTCTTATTAAAAAGTTTCTGCACATCAAATGAAATCTCCAGTATAGTGAAAAGAAAGCACACAAACTGGGAAAATATCTTAGTGAACTGCCCCTCAGACAGAGGACTTCTGTCTAAAACATATAAAGCATTTTAAAAAAGGAGATCACCAAAATTCAAAGACCCAATCCAAAAATGAGCATCTGAGATGAATAAACAATTTTGAGTTGAAGAAATATAAATGACTAGTAAATACATGAAAAAATGTTCACCATCAATGGTCATTAGAGAAATGCACATTAAAACCACATTGAGATTTCATCTCACTTCTGAAAGAAGGGCCAAGATCAAGAAAACCACCAACAACAAATGTTGGAGACACTGTTGGGACAAAGGAATTCTCCTGCACTTTTGGTGGGAGTGTAGACTGGTACAACCATTGTGGAGCTCAGTGTGGAGATTTCTCAGAAAGCTGGGACTGGAAGCACCTTTTGACCCAACTATTCTGCTTCTAGGCATATTCACAGAAGAACTGAAAGCATCATTCCACAGTGATATATGTGCACCCATTTTTATAGCAGCACAGTTTGTAATAGCCAGATCTTGGAAACAGCCTAAGTGTCCATCAACTGAGGAATGGATAAAAAAAGTTATGGTGTTTTTATACAATGGAGAACTACTCAGCTATAAAGAATGATCACATTGACATATAAATAAATGGACACAGACTGAGACCATACTCATAAGTGAAATAAATCAAACTCACATGTATAAATACCAAATATATTCCCTAGTATAAGAAATGATAATACATAGAAGTATGTGGTAAACATGATACCCAATCATATTGGTTTGAATCCATATAATGTTTTCACTCATTAAGTGCAATGGTTTTACCCTGGGTTTTTCGATTTTAGTACCAAAAATAGCTGTTCTGAAGAAAATAACACATCATAAAAGCTAGTGCTGATTTAATATCATCTCCTTGGGAACTCCCATCAAGTTGTTGTATATGTTTCCACTGGATTTAACATGTTGTATCTTAATATATTTTACTGTGATAGTATAAAAAATTTTTTTTACAGGCAAAGAGATAATATAGAAATTGTTATTCATTTTCTGTTAACTGGCTCTAAATACCCTGTAATTCTTTCACTGTCTTGAATGGCTTCACACTGTCTTGATGTGATTGATTCTATAGTATAGTATACGATTGATTCTTCTATAATATAGTATCTTCTATAGTATAGTATGTGATTGATTCTTCGTATAGTATACGAAGTTATACTCAAATAAATCAAGGAAAGAGGCACTATGGTGACTAATATTATGTTAGATTACCTGGTGGTGAAACCAAATGATGTTTTAATTGTTCAGTTCTGACCTGTGTTGTTCTTTTACAATGTCTCTTTTATCTTGATCTCCACCCTTTTAAAAAAATTATTCTATTTTTTTCAATTAAAGGAAAACTAAATTAAAAAATAGTGGGATATAGTAACTTTTTATTTTCCTATTAACCTGATTTTAACCCCAGTATTGCTCTCCCCATCTTGTTCTGCCTGATTTTACTATATTCTATTTTGTTTGATAGTATCAAGTTTGAGGGTATAGGCAACCACTTTGTAGGCAATAATATTTACTATGATGCCCATTATGGTTTGACTATTATCTTCTTTTGAAATTCTGTAAGGTCTCCAGTGTAGATTTTATTGGTCTTGTTCTGTACTGTTTTGATCAATTCTAGTATACCTGATGATATAGGGAACTCTTTTTAAAAATACCAAGAGGCACAGTGGAAACCATTTTTGATCACCTGATATTCAATTTTTGCATCAAGTAGTATGCCCATCCTTATGTTCTAACCAACTCTGTTTTGTTAACTCACTTGAGGTTTTATTCTCTTCAAAAAAAAGTAATAAGAACTATGGGAGTAAAAAAACCCCAAAAGTATAATTGTTATTGTGAAGAAAAGAAGAATGGAAGGTGGTCTAAGGGAAGTAGGTGACTGTTTGAGTATGTAGGAAGGAAAACCATATTACTGAGCTTTGTTGGATCATTGAACGGACCTGTTTGCAATCTCGCTGTAGGAATGTTCACTGTATATGCTTTAATTTTATAATTTTGACAACTGTTTCTAAGAAGACAATATGTAACCTATTAACTAGTGATTTCTTACTGCATTTTTAATTGAAATTTTGTAATATTTGTACCCTTTTACTGCTTTGCTTTTTTATGTTCTTTTTTTTCTCCTTAAATAAAAAAATTAAACCTGGAATTTATATCTTTTAT